TTTTTTTTTTTTTTTTTTTTTTTTAGAAATTAAAAATACAACAGGTGATGGGATAGATTTGGTCTGTGGGTTATAGTTTGCCAACCCCTGATGTGGATGGTACAGATGAGGTAGCCCTCGAGCAGTTTTGAGCACATCTCAATAAACAGCACTTTTATTAATAAACAAGACTCCAAATCTGTCTCCTGTCCCGGCTTTTCTCAAGCTCCCACCTGCACCCCATGCTCTGCTGATGAGTTCCCCTCTGGAGGGCCTTTCTCTAAGACAAGCCACAGTCCCCTGAGCGTCTGGTTTCCCTTTCGCCCTGCCCTGACTCTTCCTCTCCAACTCCCAGTGCCTGTCAGTTACAAAAGCTTGACATTCCGTCCAAGATGGTTTCTCACCTCCTCCTTTCCACCTTCATTCAATCACCTTCATTCAATCACTCCCAACGGACCTGTTTTGTATTGCTGCACTGGTCCACTCACTGGCCTCTTGAAAACAATTCCAAGCAGATGGGTAAATAACTGCCCAGAGTTCAGAGTGCTCCTGCTTCCTGGGCCCTCGGCCTTCCCCTAGGAGATCCCTGACCCCAGTCATGCATCCAGAAGGTCAATGTCTGGTGCACCTGGGACTCACCGCCATTGTTTGTCTCCTTCCTGTTCCACTGACTGTTAACTATTTGAATGTCACTACTACTGGGTCCACATGCCCTGGTCTGGTATCCAGGGACCTTTGACGACTGCTCAGTCTGCTGGCCTCCTTAATGTCCACCAAACTAACCTAGTGAGTTCCCAGTTCCTTGCCTTGGCTCATTGTGATTTCTGCTGTCATCAACAACACAGCACATTTTCCCCCATAACCAAATCATTTTTTTAAAAAAATCCTTCCTCCTTTCCCCAGAAAGGCTCTAGCCTCCCTTCTCTGAATGTCCACATCCGTGAACATGTACCCTCTATCACTTCACCTTCTTGGGTCTTTTCTCCTATGTTGAGGATAGTGTTGGGTCTTATCTGCCCAACTGAACTGGGATCCCCTCAGGGCAGTGTATTAATTTCCTGTGGTTGCTGTAACAAATTACTTAGTGCAAACTAAATGACTAAAACAACAGAAATGTATTGTCTCCTGGGTCTGGAGGTCGGAAGTCCAAAGTCCAGATGTGGACAGAGCATGTGCTTCTGAAGATGCTACAGGAGACTCCTCCCTGTCTCTTCCACTGGTGGAAGAAACCACTGCAGGTTTTCCCTGGACGGAGCCCCATCCCTTGACCTCTGCCTCCTCCACAGGCACCTATTCCTTGCTCTCTAGTTTCTCTTCTGTCTTTCATAAAGACGCTTATCCTTGGATTTAGGGCCCACCCAGCTAATTGAGGATGATCTCATGTGGAAATACTTAACGTAATTACTTCTGCAAAAAGAAATTTAAAAAAAAAGGAAAAATTAAAAAATAAACAACAAATACTTCTGCAAAGACCCTATTCCCTTGTAAGGTCACATTCATGAGTTCTGAAGGTTAACTCTAGACAAAGATTTTGAGAGGCTACTGTTCAACCCACTATAGTGAGGAACGCTGCTTTTGTACTTGTTTCTCTAGTCCCTGGAGGAAACCTTAGTCACAGGCACTTGGAGATTGAGGGAGGGCATGGATTTGGCTTTTCAAAACGTTTAACTTTTAAAAGCAATTAGCACAAGTGCCTATAATTGCAGGTAAAAGGCAATAAGCCCCTCCCACCCCCAAATACCCCCAATACATATATATGCAATATTTTTCTAAATAGAATCAGATGGCATGTTGTCTTTGCTTCAGACTTACAACATAAAAATGTCTTAAGCATTCCAGAGACATAATATATATGAAAAAAGACATGTATGAAAGAAAATGGTTTAGTTGTTTGCTCCTGCCTGAGTCCAGGTCAGTCTAGAGGGGCTCTATATTGCCTTCATCCGCCTGGAGAGATCTGGGCCACTTAAAGTTGATCGTACCTCACCTTCCTCCCAGGGTCCGGGATCCCCAAGATCTGGGCAAACAAAGACCTGAAGGTACAGCCCCAGGAACCTCTGGTGCTGAAGGGTGTGGGGAACACAGATTGGCACCTGCTTCAGGGAAACTCACCCATCAAGATAGAGGTGAGCAGTGGGCTGGCTCCCTGACACCTCTCCTCAGCCCTAAGGGCCCCCTTTCTGGGCCATAGACAACCCCTCAGGGTGGGGTGGGTAATACCAAAGGCCTCCACTCTCCCCAGCAGTAGGGTATGTGGCTAAGAGGATGTGGGGCAGCATAAGAGCACCAGGGTATCCCAGTTTGACAGCCACTCCTGTGTACAGAGGAATAATCCGGACCAGGTGGAGCTGTGGGGCCTCACGCAAGGCAGCTACCAGTTCCAGATGACCAGCTCGGACCAGGCAGGCAGCACGTCCAACATCACGATCACCGTGCTGTCTGACAAGCAGACGGAAGGTGAGGGAGGGGGCGAGGAGGCAGCAGCTGGAGCCATCTCCTCCTGTGATAAGCCTCTCGGGGCCCCCTGACAAGCTTTCCTACCCCCAGACTACTGCCTTGCATCCAGTAAAGTGGGTCGCTGTCGAGGTTCCTTCCCTCGCTGGTACTATGACCCCAAAGACCAGCTCTGCAAGAGCTTCGTTTATGGCGGTTGCTTGGGCAACCTGAACAACTACCTCCGGGAAGAAGAGTGCAAGCTAGCCTGCCGCAACGTGCAAGGTGGGCCTGTGCATGCTTTGGGCTTGGGGTTGTTGGGAGGTCTTCTTTCTTACTGGTCAGGAAAGTGGCCATGGAGTCCCCCACCCCCAGCTCATCCCTGCTGGGACCTGTAGCCTCCTCTCACTCCTGTTTTCTCTCCTCCAGGCCCCTCACTGGAAAGGCACCATCCAGGTGGGCTTTGCTCATTCCCCCAGTCCCCTCACCTCTACCAGGTCTCCAGCCCCTACCAAGTCCTTGTCCCTGATCAAGCTGCCTTGCCCCAGGCGCTTTATCCTCATAGTGTGTGAAAGGACCACAAGCATCCTACCCCTTGCAGCCCATCAGCCTCCCAATAGGCTTGGCCCGGTTTGTGTGGAAGGGAGGAGTGGGGTGGAAGGGGAACTGGGGCGTGTCATGATACTGTGTTGGAGGAGAGAGGGCTAGGCACGGGAGGACCCCTCGGTACTGCTGGCCTCTGCTCCGGCCTGATCTCACCACTCCTGTCATGTCCTGCCCCGACCAGTCCCCGTGTGCTCTGCCACCTGTAACCCCACGGAGTTCCGCTGCAGTGACGGTTGCTGCATTGACAGCTTCCTGGAATGTGACGACTCTGCTGACTGCCCCGATGCCTCTGACGAGGCCTCCTGTGAGAAATGTGAGGTCTGGGAGATAGGAGGGTGGTGGGCAGCAGAGGGGGGTTCTGATCTCTCAACCTGCACCCCTATGCCTCCAATCTTTCATCTCTGCAGACACCAGCGGCTTCGAGGAGCTCCAGAACATCCATTTTACCAGTGACAAAGGTGAGATCCTCCTGGATCAAGGCAGGTGCAGGCACTGCTACCCTCACCAATCTCATCAGGAGGCCGAAGGGAATTTTGGTGGCCGGGGCCTTAGCAGCAGGGTCTCTCTACTTGTAGGTAACTTGGGAGGAGGCCTGGAACCCTAATGGCAGACACATGGCCCACACTGTCCTTTGCTTCCTGGGTGTGGTAGGCTGCGGGCAGAAAGCCAGGGGAGGCCCCGATATTTTCCTTTGTCTGTGTTTCCCAAGCATCATTCATCCTCATCACACCTTCCCATGCCCACACATCACTGAGATGTTATTTACGGAAGAATTTTCTCTATGAATCAATTACTTTTTGACTTAATTGTATTAAAGGAGAAATTTCATATCACTACCATAACTGGAAAGCCACTTTTACATGTCACAAATTGAAAGAACTATTAAAATAACTATAGTAAAGCAATGTTCACACATTTTAGCTGGACATCATTGCCTGCCAAGGCTCAGATCTCAAGCCTTCTTGGTTCAAAGATAGATCATCCAGTGCTACAGAGAAAACAGATTTTGGCACCATCAGAAAAGCTGGGGAGGGGGGAAATGAAAAAGGAACAGCTATGTGAGTCAGTGCAGTTTACTTCTGTGCCCAAGGCAATTGTCCGGAATTTGTCTTCCTCCATTCTGGCAACCCTGAGGCCCTCAATGAGTGACAGCTGTCCTCTATGGTCAAGCCTGCAAGACAGTGGCAGGGGGGCGTGAACTCATCCTTCCCTTTTGACCCCCAGGGCATTGTGTGGACCTGCCAGACACTGGCCTGTGCTGGGAGAGCATCCCCCGCTGGTATTATAATCCCTTCAGCCAGACCTGTGCTCGCTTTACCTATGGTGGTTGTCATGGCAACAAGAACAACTTTGAAGAGGAGCAGCAGTGCCTTGAGTCCTGCAGGGGCGTGTCCAGTAAGCAGGGCTGGTAGGGAAAGGTCTAGCCAGAGCACTTGGCACTGACCCTGGGCTGGGCTGGTCACGCCTGGTCCTCAGAGCACCTGGAGTGGGAGTGGAACAAGACAGCAGTGCAGAGTCTTCGGGCTTCAGGGAGCAACTGAGACTCCAAGCACTTTGTGTTGACTTGTCTCTCCCCTACTCTTTTTGTAGAAAAAGACGTGTTCGGTCTGCGGCGGGAAAGCCCCATTCCCAACTCCGGTAAGCCCCAGTCTGCCCTGTCAGCAAAGAATAGGTATCAGCTCGAGGATCCACTCCATGGATGAGTTGTGCTTGCCTGCGTCCTGGTTGGGGAGTATCCTGAGGTTGGCTAAAGGGACAGTGCAGTCCATAGTGATCCCCGCCTTGGGCAGGAGAGGGAAGCACAGGAAAGTAGGGGTCACATATTCTCCATCAGAGTTCCAGGCTTCTCCCCCAGTGACCTGCCAGAATCCCCCCTCTGAGCTCACAGTGGAGCCCTTTGACTGCCCACGTGTTACTTCTCCTGCATTGGCCTCTGTCTGACAGGTCCCTTTGACCCAGGGTAGAACCAAACAAAGGCCCTTCCGGGGTTCATACTCATGCTTCATTCTCCCCTTTCTTCCCAGGCTCTGTGGAGGTGGCCATCGCCGTGCTCCTGGCTACCTGCATTGTGGTGGTGGTGGCTATCCTGGGTTACTGTTTCTTCAAGAACCAGAGGAAGGGCTTCCACAGACATCGACACCGCCGCCCCCCACCCCCTACTCCCACCAGCTCCACAGTCTCGACCACTGAAGACACAGAGCACCTGGTCTACAACCACACGACCCGACCCCTCTGAGCCTGAGGCACTTGGGCTCTCACCAGGCCCTGCTTCCCTCCTTGCCAAGACGGAGGCCTGGGCTGGGGAAGATTTTGGGACTGGATCCCTCCAGCCTGTTTTCCAGGCTCAGTCTGCCTCTATGCTGGGTCGTTAGCTTTTCTCAGAGGTGTCTGAGCTAATCTGAGAAAGCTCCAGGGTCTGGAAGCGGAGAGAAAACCTTTGATCCAGGAGTCCCATACATAGATGGACTTGCCCTGTCTGGGGTTTCAGAGGAAATTGGAGTTTTGTTTCCTGTTTAAGACTGCCCTCCCCACTCCATGATTTAGAAAGGGGGCCGGGGCAGTGTCAGAAGCAGGAGGCCCAGAAGCACGAGGCTCCAGAACTGCTCTGAATAGCCCAGGGCTGGGGGGAGGCCATCCCTGTACATTTTGTGCTGTATAGAGTTGCTTTTTGTTTATTTAATGCTGTGGGAGTGGGAGAGAGAAATGGAAAGTGCCATGTGACCTCTGCTTCCTCCTATCCCTTTCCCCAAGAATGAGGCCCAACCTGGCCCGACCCACAGAGCCAGATCTTAGGTATCCTCC